CGGGCGGCCCCCCCTTCCCGCCGATCAGCGATTGGAGCTCGCGTCGGTATGCGGCGTCCATTGAAACATCGCGCTCGTCGACGGCGACGCGGAAGCCGCGAAGGATGGCGCGTATGGCGCGGCAGTCCTCGTAGGTCCGGCGGATGGTGCGGAGGGAGGTAGTGTAGAGGGTGACGAGGGGATCGGGGAGGGAGAGGTTGGGATCGTTGTCGGCGAGGTGTTTCCAGAAGGGGCGGGAGCGGCGGGGTAAGGTTTGGTGATAGGAGAAGGATCGGGGGAGAAGAAAGGGTTTCTTGGAGGGGAGGCGGGTGTCTGCTTCGTCCATGGAGAATCGAGAGCTAGGATTAGGGTTGGTGTTTGGGTTTGGAGTGCCGATGAGAAGCAGGGAAGGGTAAATGGTGGAGAGTATCTGCTCCTTTCTTCTCTTTTTTTCTTTGGAGAAAGCTTTATGGGGGAAGGAAGGCGGAGTATGGAGAGTGGAAAGCGTGCGTGGTACGCGTGAGTTGGGAGACAGCTATGACTTCGCACGTGTTTAAAATATATATATATATATATATTGGAGTGTGCAGTAGATGCTGATGGAAGGCGGCACCGGCAAGCCGCCAGACGCCAACGTTTTTTATTTTTTATTTTTATCTTAGCACATAAATAAAGAAACATTATTCCATGTCTTCCGTATGCAGAAATACATGCGCCGTTCTATTTCTACCGTTGATCAAATTTTTTTTTTAAAAAAAAAATCGGTCCACCAAAGTACAGCTTTGATCTGATCAACAGTGAAGATTGGACGGCACATACATCTCTACATACGCTGTCCGTATGAAATAATTTTTCGGAAAAAAAGATGACTAAGAAAATTTACATAAAAAATTAATAAAATAACTTTGAACATAAAAAAAAAGGATTATGCTTTAGTAATCACACAAAAGATTTGAATTTAGCTGGATGATTGTTGAATGCTCAAAAAAATGATTCAAATTTTAAATCGGATTGAGATAGGATCAAAATAAACGAGTCTAAGTTTCAAGCTAAAGTTTTTGGATCAAATTTTTGCAGGTCAATTTTTAGTCAATCACAGCTTGGCTTGAAATCGGATCGACAGCCCTAGTAGTGCTAAAGCTGCAAATTTAACAAATTTAGCTCTAAGATTACTAATTACATAGTTTTAGCCCGGATCAAAAATCGGATCAAAATAAATGAACTAAGCTGCACGCCAAAATTTTGAGTTGAATTTTAATTGATTTTGAACTAACCCTAACGAGACTCGAAAATCAGATCGTTAACAACCCTATGATAGATATACATTTTATACATATAGTAATTTCTCAATTATTATGGGCAACATAAACCGTCTTTTTTTTTTTTTCTAAATAAAGCATTATTTTTAAGAGCTACTGCATATTATCAAATTTTTATTAAAAAAAAATAGCTTTTTACAATATATATAATAATAATAATAGGAATAAAATAATGGCCAAATGACGAGAAAGCAATCTTAAAAATAAAGGAGTATAAATCCAGGCATCCCCAACACATTTTACAATCAGGATTAACAATTTCTCATTAAACTTCTCTGCTTTTTCCCTCGCAATTCACTCAAATGAAGCAACAACATATTAGGTTTCAATGAAATGCACAAGCATATTTTCAAAATTTTTGTCATAGCTAATATCGAAGCATAATATATTGATTAAAAATGATAATATTTAAAAAAAAAAGAAAAATAAAGTTTTTAACTTTTAAGGTAAAATGGTTATCGGACACCGCATGCATTTATGCGTATGCATTTTTGCATATGATGTTCGTATGGAATAATTTTTCAATGAGTAGGGCGTGTGCACCTTATGATAGTTCGCGGCATCGGTTTGTAGCAGCAATGACAGCGCTCATCAGTGCGCTACGAAATCCGGCCTTCTCGAGTTCATAAATGCCGGCTATGGTGGTTCCTGCCGGCGATGTAACTGCGTCTTTCAGCTGGGCAGGGTGCTTCCCTGTGTTGTTGACCATGGCAGAGGCGCCAAAGACCTGTCAAAATAAGGCAGATTTTAATTACATACATGCCACTCAATTCCTATTTACTTGACACATCTAATACAAACTTTAATTTTTTTACATGCATACTTCACTTTTTAAAAGTTAAAATGATGGTATTTTATTGAGAATTGGACCTTATTTAGGGTGTTATTGGAAAAAAAAGGGAATATTGAAGAAGTCTAGGGGTTTATTGGTAAAACCTTGTGATAGCCTATGTAAGCCCATGTTATGAATGTACAAATTTGTTTTATGAAGCAATTATTTCATTATGGTATCAGAGTCGTAACCTAGCCATTAGTCAGGATTGGGCGTATGGAGACCTGAAACTTCCTCTTCCTTCCTTTGCGTCCTCGCGAAGCTGAACGAAGCAGCTGATACTAGACGAAGCAACCACAACTACAGCTAACTGGGACGCTAACGATGAGATCGTAGCTTGAAGCTTCGCGATACAGTCGCAATTAGAGCAAGCAAGGGAGGACATGACAAGAACTAAGAAGGCAACAACAGGATCGCAGCTTGAAGTTTCGCGATACAGCTGCAATTGGAGCTACCCAAGTAGGCCACGATAGGATCGTGATGATACAGTCGCAATTAGAGCAAAATAGGAAGGCAATGATGGGATCACGGCGTGCAAACGCAAAGGATGTCTGATCTAGGTTGGATCGTTGTGATCGAAGATGTCAGAAGATGGAGATAGTACGAGAGGTAAATGATTGAAACTTCTGGGGAAAATAGATCAAGAAATTCTGAAGGTCTTGGTCGGGCTCATACGGGGAGCAAACGCTCGACGAGAGCCACTACCTCAGCACGTTCTGACGAGAGTGAAGCCAGATTTCCCTCTAGTGGATATGAAGTTCGATGGATCAGCCACATATTTGAGTTCGTCGCGTCGAGGTAAGGCTGCTATAGTAGGGAAGAGACAAGAGGGATATATCACCAGGGACGAAACAAAAATGACAACGCTGTAAAGGAAAAGCGGAGGACCAAACACGCCTTAATCTACACCTGGCTACTCAACTAAATGGTTCCGTCAATTGCATCCACATTAGATGGCAATTGAAAGGTAAGGGACATCATCTGGGCTAAGCTAAAAAGGAGTTATGCTAGGACAGAAAACCACATGAGTGTTCCAGATTCAACATGAGATTGAAGTTGTTGTACAAGGTGATAGATCAATTCAGGAATAAGCCATAGATTTAGAGTGGTTGTGAGCAGATCTTGATCACTTCTCACCGATGTCGAGCTGTGGCGATCCGGAATACAAAATGAGATCTTTACACATATGAAGACTTCTGGCCCATCTGAATCTGTCTTTTGATTAGAAGAGATCAATCTTCCTAGCTCAGGCTACTATCCCTTCATTGGATGAGGCAATTGCTGCAATGATACTGAAGGAGGATCGCATGAAGCTATGCTTTGAGCCGAGTGGACTTTTGGGTGCGGCATCAGCATTAGCTACCTCGAGCTCAGATAAGATAGGTGTCCATGGAGAGACTCACAAGTGCTACAACGATGGTGAAGTTGGGCATCTGAGAAAGACCTGTCCTAGGCTACCTAAGGAGAGAGAGACAAGTGGACGCGAACAGAGTGGAGGCCCAGGTTGTGGCCGTGGTGGTCGGAAAAGCTGGAAAATGGGGCAACCAGACAAATCTGATGTTAGAATAGGAGGGAGAGATGAGTGTGGTTTTACCAATGAGGATCATAAGTGTTTGAGGTTGTTGAAGAGGAAGCAGAAAGAAACATAAGATATGAGGCAAGGGGATGAGTAGCAATTGTGAGAGAGTGGTGCATGTGGGCAAATGACAAAAGGTCAGCCTCAGGATATTGCATGTAAGTGGTAAATCAATCTCTTGGAAGAACAAGAAACAATCTGTAGTTAGCGAGATCAACAACAAAGGCAGAGTACAAGGCTATGACATAGGAGTTGCCGATATGATGTGGCTAAGAGCCTTGTTGGTCGAGTTCAAGGTGAATCAAGGAGCTCAAATGAAGTTGTGGTGTGACAAGTCAGCAATCAGCATTGCCAACAACCAGATGCAAAATGATAGAACCAAACATGTAGAGAATGATAGGTTCTTAATTAAGGAAAATCTGAATAACAGGCTACTCGAGTTAAATCATACTGCTACTGGAGAGCTAATGGATGACTGTCTCACTAAAGGACTTAGTTCATTAGATTTGTCTAGGTTATGTGATAAGACAAACTTAGTGGATATCTTCTGCCCATCGAGAGGGAGGGGGAGGTGTTAAAAAGTGGACGTTTAAAAGTGAACCTTATTTAAGATCCTATTGGAAAAAAGTAAATATTGAAGAAGTCTAGAGATTTATTTGTAAAACCTTTGTAATACCCTATTTAATCGGGTATTATGAATGTACAGAATAGTTTTTTGGAACAACTATTTCATTATTTTTTATGTGATATGAAAGATTATGACGGTATAATTATAAAATGTAAACTTTAGGTTTTGGACATGTAAATGCATAAAATTTATTGAAAAAAAAGAAGATTTACATACATACCACTCGATTTAAGTATTTCCACATAAAACAAATCAACTTTAATTTTTACATACGTAACACCTTGCCTATGCATGAAAAGATGTGTTTCATTAATTCAAAGTTAATGATAGTATTTTTTTATGGAATATGAAACATCAGGATAATATAAATATAAAATGTAAAATTTAGGTGTTAGGTATAAAAATACATAAGAATAGGATGGTATGTATGAAAATGTCACTAAAAATAAAAAAAAGCTGATGATATTTCAAACTAAATAGAGGTTGATGATATTATGGCTGAAGTAATGAATCTAGAATAATTTTTTAGATAAGGTGCAGATAAGAAAAAGGTCGGCATTTGACTTGAAGTTAGGAGTGAGATAGGCTTATAAAAGCTATATCTTTTTTTAGTATAGTTTGACTTGAAATTGACCCAAAATAGAAGTACAATTGAAGTTAAGCTGCCTTCAAATAAAATGAACAAGAGAAACAATTTTGAAATTAATTCTAAGCTGATTCGTAGTAATTATAGCACGATTTAAATGATTTTGTTTCATATCCATCGATCCATCCATCTAATAACTCGTATGAAGCATAAGAAAAATGCATAAAGTTCACTATCTATATTTCTTTATCTATAAGATACATTCATAATTATTATAGCTTAATTTACATGATTTTATTTTCATATCCATCAATCCATCCATCAAATAGCTCAAATAAAGCAACAAAAGAAAAATACATAAAGCTTACTATCGCATTATCTATAAGATACATTCATATCTGATTTTCCAAGAGGATGATTCCTAACTATACATCTAAGATATATTCATATTTGATTTTCCAAGGTGGTGATTACTCAATGCTTCATCCATATTTAAATTTCACATCTACTATTTATTATCACAACTATAAAAAGGGAGAGAAATCAATAGTTAGAAGCATCCTACAACCAGAAACAAATAAAGAGAGATGAGAGAATGAAAAGGAAAAGTTCGTGCAATAGAAAAGAGAGGAGAGGAAAAGAAACAACAAATATATAATTCTTCATGTTCAGCTCTTGCCTTAACAATGGGTAATTCTATTTATTATCGGTCATTAATACAAATAAAGTGATTTTTTTGCCTTTATTCATATGAAATATAATATTTCCATGTACCTTTTTAAGTTTAGTAGAATATTTTATTTGTGCGAGGCCGTAAAAGTAGGTGATCTCATCAAATCACTAAAATATGTATGCCTTACGTTTGACTTTTTGGTGTGTTTATTCTCTTAGCTTTATTTTATTTTGTTCCAAAGTTTATAGCTATCCTAATCATATGGTTCAGTACTATGATATGTATAAAGAACAATAAGAAATATAACTTCTTTAGAGTTATCATAATCTATAACTCCCATATAAATTAAAATGAAAGAAAAAGAAAATTATAAACCAATATTTTATAGCTCTCAATTCAAGGCCATCTTGAGTCGAGGCAAAAAGGAAAGAGCTATGTGATTCTCTTAACTTATAAAATCTTGTTAGGAAAATAAAACCATAAATAATATAGGAAAAAAATGCTTAAAAATTAGAAACTCACCGTCTGAGATGCAAGAGCAAGAGCAAGGTCTCTAGGAAGACCAGCAGCTACACCACCATCAGCCAAAGCCTCTATTGCAATATATACATAGGCTGGGCCACTGCCGCTACAGATTGACATAGAAAAAATAAAATTAAAAAGGAAGATTTACATACATAATACCCAATTCTTATGTATTTACATATCTAACAAAACTTCAATTTTTTACATATAAATGTTAAAATGGTTGTAATTATTGGGATGTATGTTATGTATGTGCCCCAATTAAAAATATAATATTATTTTAGAAAAGAGATGGGGAAACAATTTAAAGTGCAAAATTCTTAAATTCAATGAACCACTTGGGAATATACCTCAGGCCAGTTACAGCATCGAAGTATTTTTCATCAACCGTCCATACCTTTCCAACGGCTTTAAATAAACTAGCCACTCGTTCCTCATCCTTCTTCGTTGCCATATCTGCCATGCACATGACTGAATAAAACAAAAATATTAGAACCAGGAAGCCTTTTTTATTTCTTTCTTTCTTTTTTTTTTTTTTTTAGGGGTTGGGTGGGGGGTTATACACATACCACCCAATTACTATATATTCATGCATCTAACACCTAAAATTTGTACTTACACATTTATATCACCCAATTTTTTCAGATGATGAAAAAATACCACCATTTAACTGAAATACACATTTCATTAAAAAGGTGCCATGTATTTAAAAATTATAGGTGCTAGATATGCAAATACACAGGAATTGAGTGGTATGTATGTAATTCTTCTTTTTTAACATGGTTCTGTTACGCCGCTGCCTAGGGGCAATTCAGTCTTTATTAGGCTAAGAGTAATTTCTGTTATCAATTAGTATAAATAGGACTTAAAATATGTTTAGGGTTAGAGGAATGTATGAGATTGTTGTCTTGGGTTTTAGGGTTAGGGTTAGGGTGTGGGAGAGATTTCTTATCGCTCGAATTGTATGATTTGGGATAGATCGTCTACCTCTCGAATTGTAGGAGCTTATTTTTATGTATTCCACTTGTGTTGTTTGTGTTATTGAAGAAAGACAATTTGTTTTGCCCTAAATTCTGTGAAAAATCGTCTCAGTTAGTTTCAAGTGGTATCAGAGTGTTTGACCTCGGAAGGATAGCAACAGAAAACAAAGAAAAGATTGCGGCCTCTAGGACGCGCCAGCTTCATGAAGAAATCATGTGAAACGGTCGCGATTTGCTGGTTGGGAAGCCACAACAAGATCATGTAAAAATTTCTTCAATCAAGAACCTTCGTTGTCCCATCAATGAGGGATCACGACTTACATGCGTCTCCTTCACAATTGCTCTTCGCGATTCAATCACAATTAGAGTTAACAAGGGAAGAATCATGGCATACAGGACAAGCACAATGCTCCTTCGGGATTGCACCACATGTAGAACAGTGAATCACGCTAGCTAGGAAGAAGGATTTTGGCCTACATATGGCTTGATCGTGGCGCATAGGATTCCACACGATACATACGCATTTGAATTGGTATAGATCCGATTCAGACTACCTGGGAAGCCACCAACGAGATTTCAGTATATGGTAGTTCCTCCTTAGTGATCGAAATCATCCAGGAAGGAATGACATCAAATAATGTAAATGATTTGGAGAAGAAATTGGAGGAAGATGTGAGCCAAACTAAATCTAGGATGGAGGAAAGGTTCTCAATCATAGAAGGAAGGTTTTCCTCCATGGACAACCGATTTGAGGGTCAATTCGAGAGCTTGAAGGAGATGATGAGGAAACTATTGAGATGCAATCCAAGATTCATCGGCGGTTTAATTTCCAAAACCTAACCAAGGGGACACTGGAGAATTTGTTATGCATTCCAATTGGTATAGACCCGATCCTGACTACCTGGGAAGCCATCAACGAGATTTTAACATACAATAGTTCCTCCTTAGTGATCTAAAATCGTCTGGGTAAGAATGACATTCAAGAAAGTAAATGATTTGGAGAAGAAATTGGAGGAAATTAAATCTAGGATGGAGAAAATGTTCTCAATTGTAGAAGGAAGGTTATCCTCCATGGAAAACCGATTTGAGGGCCAATTCGAGAGCTTAGAGGAGATGATGAAGAAGCTATTGAGATGCAACCCAAGACTCGTCGGCAATTTAATTTCCAAAACCCAACCAAGGGGTCACTGGAGAATCTGTTACGTCAGTGCCAAGCCTGAGGACAATTTAGTCTTTTGTTTTATTAATGTTTATTATAAATAAACCTTCATAGGCTTAAGGTTAGGGTTATGCATGAGATTATTGTTGTGAGTCTTAGGTTTAGTATTTGGGAGAGATTTTCTACCTCTTCAATAATAAGAATTAAAAGATCACCTACCTCTCAAATTGTAGGTGTTTATCTTTATATTCATGTTGAATGTTTGGTGTTCTTGCAATAAAATGGGTTTGCCATAATTTCTACGGAAAATCCTGACAAATTGGTATAAGAGTGCTCAATTTATAAGAAATCAATGACTAGATTGTTGCATATAGGAGTTTTGTCGCATTCGGCAATAAACTTCATCATAAAATTACGATTAGAGCTAACAGGGAAGCAACAATGGAATCGTCGTGTATCGTAGTCCTCGGCACCAATCACTATGCAGTCGCGATTAGAGCTATCTGGAAACCAATAGTGGATAATTGTAGCGTACAACTCACGTGTGGTGATCCTTCACGATCGTGCCCCATGATACAATTGTGAATCTCTCGAGATAGGGAAGACCAATTGGATCGCGGTCGTCTTGGAGGAAAATGGATCACGGCGTGCAGTGACCCAAACGATCGCAATAGAGCTAACTAGGAAAAAATGATAGGACCACGAGCAAGGCTTGTTGCAATACAATCACGATCAAGCTATCTGGGACCGCAGTGAAAGCCAAATCGTAGCGTTAGGATCACAAAAAAGCAAATTGAGATAGCAGGATGGGATCACATCGTACAGGCAAACAGTTGCTCGATTTGACGTATTTGGAAGCAAAAAAACAGGATCAGAGTAATACAATTTTTTAAAGAATTATGATGGCCAAGAAAGTGCAAGATTTGAAGGAAAAACTAGAGAAAGAAATGAAACACATCATATCTTAAATAGATGAGCGTTTCTCATCCATAAAGTGGCAGTTGAAGCGAAGATCCACAGTCTTAGAAGAAATGATGAAGTCGATCATGAAGAGTCACACAAAATCGCATTTGCCTACCGCAAGATCGAGTAACAAAGTCAAGAACGGACGCGAGCAGCAGCAACTAGAAGAATTACGACAGTTGTTTAGAAAACAAAGTCGGGCAAAAACTGTCACAAATGGACCATTAAATCTAAAGAATTATTAATACTACATTGGGCAAAAAGAACCCAAGCAAGGAATGAGATGGTCAGTAGAAAGGTCGGTAAGACAATAAAATCATGGGAGATAGCAAGAAGAAAAAATTGTTCCACCAACCCCACTCTTCCTTCATCTCCACATCGGTCTCACTATTGGAACCGTTGCCCATTCCAATACATCAATGAGCCACTTATAACAAAGCATAATATCGTGTATCAGCAAAAAGTATGAACAAGAGTAATACATGAAGGAATTGTGAGGGTTCAAAAATATTTTTAAATGTTGGGAAAAGGAAGGAGGATGAATCAGAAGAACACTTATAAATGAAATAAAGTAAAAAGGAAAGGGAATGGATGTGAAAGATTCAAGTTGATTCAAGCTGTCATTGGATAAGTTTGATGGACTAGTTAAGTTTAAACTCCCTCAACTTCAAGCTGGCACAAAAACTAGCCCATTTTCTTATAAAAGAAAAGATAAATGTAAATTCAAAAGATTGTGACAAGAACCTAGTATAAATCAAAGCCAAAATCAGTAAACCAATTGCAAGAAATAAGTGAGAAAACCCAAATATGGGCTGATTTGATTAATCTCTAAGTAGACAAACAAGATACAATGGGTGTGTTGACCTCGCTTTCGGTCGAGGTGTAGTTTTCCCTTCCTTAGTAGCCTAGGATTTAGTCGTAAGACCTTTCTGTCGACTGCTCCTAGAAAACTAGTGAAGGAGCCCTCCCTGTTAGCAATTCTGCACTTTTCTTCACTTGACTTGACGTTTCATTTAGTAGTTTTGACCGCTATTACTTGGCAGGTAAGACTACTCTGAAGGAACTCAAGAGCATTCTTATAGGATTGTCGGCCTTAGGATTGAATTTACTCCGATTTGGCGCCACTGCGCTCTTCGCTGCCCTGTTTAATCGAATTCCTATAGGACTGCCGGCCTTAGGATTAACTTTACTCGTCGATTTGGCTCCATTGCGCTCTTCGTTGTCCTGCTTAATCGAATTCGAGCCGAGTTTTTGACGTGATTCGGGTCGCGACGCGTTTTTGACCCGATCGACGACGAGGTTGCCCGAACGACTCCGGATGACGAAACGGACTGCGCCGATGCGTCCGGAACATCGATTTTGCCTAGGGGAGACATTCGTTCAACCGCGACGACACGTCTGGGGAGAAATATGCATTTAAGTGTTAATTATAATAATAAATAATATTTTTTTATTATTATTATTATTATTATTATTATTATTATTATCTTATATTAATCCTAACATAATTTCATTACCTCCCCCCTGCCCTCTGCTAAGTTTCGACCCCGTGGACCTCTGCCCTAGCTTCGGCTCGCTCGACTCCACCTGGCCCGCTCCTTTGTGTCGTTGGAGTCTTGTTCCCGAGCTCGCCTCGAGCACACGTAACGATCCCGCGACACATCCCCTTATCATTGCCGTGGATCTTATCCCATGCGAGGGTCTCATCCTCTGCCTCTCTCGAGCCGCCCGTATAGGGTGTCTGCTCTGCTCGTTTCCTCGAGCCGTTTACGAGCTTTCAATCGCTCTTTCTCCTTCTCCCGTCTATATTAAACTCTACTTAGAGCATTTGGGAGGGGGCCAAAAATCTTTAAGGGAAGAGAAAACTCTGTCATTTTCTTTTCTCACCTATTTCTTCAACTTTCTGTATTTGGGTTGGCAGGGTTGGCTTCTTCTTACTGCTGGAGGAAGGATTGGAGTTGAGAAATGCTTTTAAAAGTTCTGTGTTGCTTTCTTTTGCTGCAAAGAGGTACCAAAGAGGTACTTATCCCCTCCCTTCTCCCCTCCTCTATCCCTCCTTTCTCTCGGTTTTGCTCGGCCAGGGTTGCTAGGAGCGGCATTCTTGGAACGGGTATGGCATGCTAGTTCGGCATACCCCATGAATTTTGCGATATTAAATAAAAATGGTGATATGGATTTATGGAAGTTTAGTTCATTGTTCAAGCATGTGTAGATTATCTACTTATGTTCTTCCCATATGTGTTGAATGTAGAGGGAAAGCCTACTCTTATTTCTATCTCCTGCTACTCTCTTACTCGAAACATGTGTTATAAAAAAAAAGAGGAATTTCTTTAATTTGAAAGGTCCTATAAATTGTTTTGGGGACTCGT